GAACTTGGTGGGGCCACTCTGGCACCTCGGGGCGCTGGCCACCTCTATGAAGGCTCACTGCAAAGCAAACACCGAATGCTATTTTCTGTTTTCAGTATGTGCTTCAGTTAGCAAAATCAGGCACTAATGTAGGGTCGATTGCAAAAGCAAAGTAGCATAAAACAAACTTTTGAAAAGCAGGGGACACCTGTAAATCAATGGCGTTAATGAGTCTATTTATTTTGCCATCAGCCCAATTTCCTTTCTGATCTTCAGCAGCCTACTAGCAAACTCAATTACTGACAATGGCCCTGGCCCCTCTCTGCTCTTTCTTCCCTGGCCCATGGTGCTCAGTCCTCTCCTGTGGCTTCACGTGCAAAACTCTGCACCCTAGCCAGGACTGCGCAGACTCACCTGGCTGAGGCATGCGGGTGAAGGCTGTGGTCGGCCCAGTCTCTGCATTGGAATGTTAGTATGTTCAATGCGTTTTAATTTACACATCCTGTGATTTCATTCAATCTTTACAGTAATTTGGTGATGGAAGTATTATTTTTATCTTCAATTTACAGTTGAGAAAACCAAGTTAAGAGGGAGTTTCCCAAGTAGTAAATGACAGAAAGATTTAAACGGAAATCTCTTAATTCCTTATTCATTTATATTAAAAAATGCAATTTTGCTGTATTACAGTTGCCCTTGACATTTTACCTCAGTACCATTTTTCTAATACACTTTGCAAGAGTATTTTTAATGATGACATTACTAATGCACATTATAAAGCCACATGAAAAATACAGAAAATAGTGAAAGGTTTTCAATCATCCATAATATTTTTTAAAATATATTTTATTGATTTTTTTACAGAGAGAAAGGGAGAGGGATAGAGTTAGAAACATTGGTGAGAGAGAAACATCGATCAGCTGCCTCCTGCACACCCCCTACTGGGGATGTACCTGCAACCCTGGTACATGCCCCCGACCGGAATCGAAACTGGCCCTTCAGTCCCCTTCAGTCCACAGGCTGACACTGTTTCCACTGAGCCAAATCAGCTAGGGCAATCATCCATAATCTTATTACTGAGAAGATAGCCACTATATTTTGTGTGTGTTTTTTTCTTTATTAAGATAATCACTATTAATGTTTTGGCGTATGTATTTCTCTCTAAATATTTTTCTGTGAATTCCTTCAAGTATAGTTCTTTTGACATTGTATTTTAATTTAGAGTTTGGTATCACATTCCGTTTTTATTTTCTTGAGTGAAGTGGTGTGGCATTCTAGCTTTATTTTATTTAAAATTTTACAGCATCACCTTTTACTGACTTATTTTTTATGTTTATTTTTAAATGTAACAAGAATTTATCCACTTTTCTAGAGTTCTTTTTTTAAATTGATTTTAGAGAGAGAAGAAAGGAGAGGAAGAGAGAAAAATATTGATCAGTTGCCTCCTGCATACCCGCTACTAGGGATCGAGCCCGAAACCCGGGCATATACCCTGACCAGGAATCAAACCAGTGACCTCTTGGTGCATGGGAAGACACTCGACCAACTGAGGCACACGGACCAGCGCTAGAGTTCACTTTTTCAGGATGAGAGTCATGCTTTTTCAAAATGCGCTCAGACCAGCAGCACCAGCAATCACTTGGAAGCTGGTTAGAACTGCAGATTCTCTACTGAGTCAGAATCCCCTGGTTGAGGCAGAACCCCTGTTTTAATAAGCTCTGCAGGGGATTTTTCACACATGATAAAGTCTGACTAAGATATTGGGTTTTCCATTTGTGTTGATGAGGCAAAAACAGCTCATAGGCCTATCCTAAGTTAAGGACAAGCAGAATAATCAGCATAGTTTGAAGGAAAAAGAAGAGGTTTTGCTTCCCAAATGCCCCACAGCCACTGCCTTCATCATCTACTCTTAGTTACCTGGGTCGAGATGTGTGGCCCTCTTTAAAATGCTAACATGCTTACAGAGAAATGCAGATGTGACTGACGCTTCTCACCCATGGTGCTTTCATACATAGACATGCGCTTCTTATGGTGAGCCAGCTCAGCATCTCTTCAAGATAATTCACTGTCTTGTTAAGGAAATAAAATGTTTGTATATGAAATTCAATCAACAATTAATCAAGCCCTAGTTTACCATAATTAAGTATTACAGTACATGAAGTGAGCAATGAATGGCTTTAACTGTATAGAAAAATAGACATATTGCCTGCGGGGGGTCTCCTTAAGAAAGGAGGAATGTGAGTGGGACCGAAATAATAATTATCATATTGATCATAAAAATTCCAACTATTAAATATTTACAATGGCCAGACATAATATTAAGCAAATGCTGTTGGTTACTTCCTCCAATTCTCAAACCACCCTTAAATATACTCATTTTCCATGCAAGCCTAATAAAGTCAGGACACTTTGCCACATAGCACTTCATGGAATCAGAATTTCAGCCCAAGTCCGTTTGACCTCTGAGCCCTGCCTCTTACCACAACTGCCTCAATAGTTAACTCTGATTAAGAAAGTTTATAGATTGAGAAAGAGGCTTGTAGTATATATATATATTGCAGATGAAGGCAAGCCCAGGATGGGTGAGCAATCTCCTATGTCAAATTCGCCTGACCAGAGTACAAAGTATACATTGGCAAATTGCTAAAACCAGGAAAGATCAATTAGATTATGGAAAGTCTTACATGCATAGAGGCTGATCTGAGATATAATATCATAGATACTGAAGAACCATTACACATTCTTTGAACGTTATGGAGGTAATGTTATCCAATGTTAATGCATAACATTGGATAATAAAGCATAATTTGGTGGGAAGTGAAGAGATATTTGGGTGAGATGCTGAATTAAAAGGGTGATCGCTATAAACCAGATATCAGGTACTAAGGAAAATGACTGGGGTGTTGGCAAGAGAATACCTAATTATTAAATATTAGAGAAGAAAGGTGAAAGGTTTTAATGGCAGTTTGGCTGAAGGGACTTTAGAATTTGAACTTGACATTGTGGATGACTTTGAGCTATACTGAGAAATTGTAATGATCTGGAGAGAGGTTCTCAAAGATGAATAATTAATTAATTTTCAGAGGTTGTGGGTTTAGGGCATTCTGAACTCTCTTCCTATGTACATTCACCTGGTCTCCGTGTCCTCTTGCTATTACAAACATGTGAATCAGTCATGTCTACTCTGTGCTTATATTCTCATATTAAAGGCCCAGTGCACGAGATTCATGCACTCAGGCGGGGTGGGGGGGTGGGGGTTCCCTCAGCTTGGCCTGCACCCTCTCACAGTCCAGGATCCCTTGGGAGGTGTCCGGCTGACGACTTAGGCCCGCTCCCCAGGAGGAACGGGCCTAAGTCGTCAGTCGGACATCGCTAGCACTGCCATGGAAGTGGGAGAGCACTGACCACCAGGGGCAGCTCCTGCATTGAACGTCTGCCCCCTGGTGATCAGTGCATGTCATAGTGATCCGTTGTTCTGCTGTTTGGTTGATTTGCATATTAGCCTTTTATTATATAGGATAGAGCTAGTTATCTTTCAACTGGCCTATGGCAGTAACAGCCTAAATGCTCTCCTGACCTTCTGAATTTCTTCCCTGGAATCTAATTTAACTACTAGGAGCTTTCTTTCCAAAACCTACATCTAATTGTGACCTCTTCCTGCTTCAAGTTCGAAAATACTTCCTCACTGCCTTTCACTTGGTATGGTATTCAAAATTAGAACAACCATAATGTATTATCCAAATAAGACACTTGGGAGATTGAAAGTGGATGAATTAATCATTATGTGGGATAAAAGTTGGATGGGTTCTACTTAACTTTCTAGCCACATCCTCTTCCAATAGCACTTTTTGCATAAGCAATACCCACACAGAGAGCAAATCCTACTCCAAAAGCCCTTTATCTGTGTTGTTCACAGCTGTATCTGTGTAGTCTAATCCACTGCTCAGTGCATCGTAGGGACTTAGTAACTATTTGCAGGAGAAATTAAGGACTAAGCAAATAAAAACATTTTAGAATTGTTTGAGTCTAGTGCGTTGTTGTTGAAATGAGGTAGAATTGGAGATCTAATATCTTTGCAGAGAGGAAACCATGGAAAGCCAAAGGGAGGCACGGAGAAGGTGAAGGAGGAAGGAAGGAAAGGAAGTCCCAGGGGCAGATCTCCTACTCCATAATTGAACAAAAGGCAGATGTTGGGAGTAGGAGTTCAAGTGCAGGGTACCTAAAGACTTCAGGACTTGCATTTCAGAGATGTGGACTTTTATTAGAATTTTTAATTTTGTACAGCAATCTTTCAAATTCTTCAGAGGTATCAAAAAAGTTTTTGCAATATTTTGGAAGTTATGACTACAGAGGTGACATGTAAATGTCCATTTTGTACTTTGGAAAACAGTTGCCGTCTCCAAGAAGAGAAAATGTGTCAGGAGCATGAGAACAAAAAGGAAAACAATGAAAAAGTACCTGTAATTCAATTAAATCGATGGCAGCTTTCTACACCAACAAGATTTGATGTAATTAAAGCACTTGCAACAAAATGAAGCAGGGACATTGTTTTCCTTTTTCCTGAAATAAATGAAGAATAGAAATCTCATGAAATTTATTCCACTATACAAAAAATGTGTGTGTGATCTCTTAGTTGATAGTCAAGCAAAGCAGACAACACGTATCTTGTAAAATAACAGCCCTTACAGTAAGAAGATGGTATCTATAAATATCTATAGATTCATTTTTTTCTATGATCGTGATCCCTAATACAATAGACATTAGATCAATTTAACAATTTCATGATTTTTAAGTCTATTTCCCAATAATAAAACCATAGCAGGAACTTATTATCTTTGTTAGGACAGAAATGCTTATAGAGTAAAAACCAAACCATGAATGTAAATGTAGAGGAAAAGAATGCTCATTCTAGCAAGAGGATACAGTCCTCAGCAGTGGTTAGCCAGTATGCAATGTGTTCCTGGGGCATTTGTCCGGGGAGCCATTTGTTCCGTGCTGTGCTCACGTAGGATTTTTCTTTTCAGCTATCTATGAGCCATCCTGCGAAGCGTACAAACACCTAGGCCAGACTTCAAATTACTACTGGATAGATCCTGATGGCAGTGGACCGCTGGGGCCTCTGAAAGTGTACTGCAACATGACAGGTAACGATGCCATATTTACGTTTCATGAGCATGGCTTTTCTGTGTGTTGAAAATAAGTGCTGCCACTGAAGTTTGTTTCTTCAGCAATTTCTATGACAACACACAATAAACTAAATATTGCAGGATTTGTTAGGTAAATAAATGGTGCAGTGTATTTCTAAAGCAATTATACTTTCCGACACTGAATGTAAAAAACCAGTCTACCTTCTGACTATACCAATAAAAAATGGCATTTAAAAAACATCTGGAGTATGGAGAAACCCCAGAAAGTGAACCAGAAAGGTTGAAGTCTATGGAAAGAGCTGGTCCATGAAACAGCCCCTGCAGGTCCCTACCCTGGGGGAGGTCAGCACTCTGCTCAGGTTCCCACACTGCCCATGCTATGGAAGCCCACAGACCACTCTCCATACTTCCTCTGTTCCGGTAGTTATAAAAGGAACTCTTCTGGGTGCTGAAATCCCATCTGGCAAAGGCAAAACTTGCCTGCAGCTTTCATGAAATGTATCTGCTTGGGAAGGCGCCTAGTGTTTCCCTGTTCCATATTAAATTTCAGGGGCTCTTGCAAACTCCCACCAGTGTGTAAGATGTACAGCTCTCTAGAGGCTATTTTCTATCAGACACTGGGTGACTGACATCTTACTCTCCGAAACGGAATTTTTGGACTGGAACACACGGTGTTCCCCTGGGCAGAATGTCCCAGATTCTTTGTCCGCCAGAGTCAAAGAATGAATGCATGGACAGAAGGTGGTATAGAAGAAGAAGTATAGACTTGTGCAGGGAGCGGGCAAGAGTCCCACTGAGTTCATTTTCCCTACGGCTTACAAAGGCTGCAGATCTTGGTGCCTTGACATGCCCTCTGATTGGTCACTATTCCCTGGTTACTGTGTAGTAACGCCTGGGCTCAAAGGTTGAACCTCACAGGTGGAACCTCTCCCCCGCTCCTTCCTTATTGTTTTAGTATTCTTTTGGGCTTTGTTTTTCCTCTTGTGGATGAAAGGCTTCCTTCCCTTTATTTTGTAAATATAGAACTTTAGCTGTTCCCAGCTCCCTCATTCTATGGAAATGTACCTGTTGCAGCTTTTCAGCTTCCCCATTCTATGGAAATATACCTTCTGCTGCTCTGCAGCCCTGTGTTTCCTCCATGGTCCCCTTAATTTCCAAAATTCCTAAGATTTCCTAAACCTGTCCCATTTTACCCCTAAAACTCCTGTTTCACCTCCAAAACTCGGAGAAGAGTGTGTGGCATGCACTGCTCACTGGCTGCAGGGGAGGATCAGCACTGCATGTGAACTCCTGAGCAAGATGCTAAGGATGAGGATCCCAAAATGCTACTGATGATGTTTGCTGCTGGTCAGGTACCCTGATAGAGTCCTTGCTCAGACTACTTGGCTTTGTATTCTGGTTCCATAAATCAGTAGATATATAATCTTGGCTACCTTATTAACTTGATTAAACTCCATAAGCCTCAGTCTATTTCCCTGTAAAATGGTTTGATAATAATCTCTACCTCATAGCATTATTATATGAATGAAATAAAATATCTGCATATGGTTCTTAGCATATTACCTGACACACAGTTAATTTTTAGTAAAGGTTGCCAGCAGTTGGGATGCTATTATTTTTTGAAGCACTAGTGAGCGTTTCTATCATTCAGGCAAGACTCAAATTCGGATATGTGCAAGGCCAATGGTTCTTGAGGATGGATATGCTTCAGAATCATGCATGGAGCTTTTTTTTTCCTTTTCCATACAACTTTATTGGCTCCAGCTCTGGAGACTTTGATTCAGTAGACATTGAATGGACATAGGATTGTGCAGCTAGAACCAAGAACCCAGGCAAGCAGACCCCAGTGGAGAACTTTTAACAGCATCAGGACCCAGGCTGCCTATGGCCCAGACGGAGAAGAGAATGATGAGGACATGAGTGTAGGATGGAAGGCGCGTAGAGAAAATGGTAACATGGCAGCTATCCTCCCAAAAATAATTCCCTCGCGTGCCAAGTATTCTAAGTGTAGCAGAGAGTAGGAATTCACAGACCAGAAAGTTTGACATAAGAGTTGTTTGTTTGGCTTGTTAATGACCTCAAGAACTTTCTTGTTCACCTTCACTCTAATTTTACTTGAACTAAAGTATAATCTATGAGAATTTGTTTGAATCTGGAAGAATCTTGATCTCTCTCTCTCTCTCTCTCTCTCTCTCTCTCTCTCTCATATGTGTATATAATTTATATCAATTAAAGTCAACTATTATCCTCAAGGGAAATCAAGACATTGGAAAATTATGATTTTTTTTTTTTAGTTATTTGCCTGTATGCATTTCACAAGAGAATTAGAAAGCAAACCCAAACCATGATGAATATATTTATGTGAATAATACATACAATGAAAGGCTGTTTAATTTCTGGAGAGATGACCTTTCTGTCAGTTGAAGTCATCACTCAGAAGCATGATCTCCTTGTCATCAATATCTCCTTTAAGGAGTATGGCTGCAGTTGAGTGCAGTATTCTGTTTACAGTCTGAACAACGAAGAAAACAGTCCAACCTTCTGCAACGAGCATATTTTTCTGCTGTCACACAAGATAGTTATGGACATCAGTGTGTCAGGGACCCTTGAAGACCAGCAGGCACGATGTGGCCTTTTGCCCTCTATCAACTCTTCCTTCATCTGTAAAGAAGGTGAACTTGACACCATTAGGAGAGCATGGTACCACAAAGCCTGGCTTGGGCTGTTCCTTTTCCAAGAGATATATGTTGAAAAAGAGGAGGGAGTGACAATGTGAGATTGTCTATGAAGACTTGACATATCACTCTGTGTCATGAAAGATGGTATATGTACCTTATTTTATAGCCTTTCTATTAAATAATAGAGCTGCCTTACTCCTCAGGAACCCAAATGTAATTGGGTGTTTATCACTGTTGAATATATCACATATTTCAAAAATGGAAGCAAGACATCTTCTCTGAAAATTTTAAGGAAAGGGACCTCACTGGCAGCAAACATCTACCCCAGTGATGGAGAACCTTTTGAACTCGGCATGTCAGCATTTTGAAAAACCCTAACTTAACTCTGGTGCCGTGTCACATATAGAAATTTTTTTATCTTCGCAACCATAGTAAAAATATATATATATATTTCCCCCCCCTCTGGGATTCTTTCTCTAGGTTGTTTTTTTGTTTTAATTTATACATTCACTGTGTGCCAGGAGCTGTGCTGTGTCAGAATAAATGGATATAGTAAATGCCTTTATGGTGCTCACAACTTATAATAAAAACAAGCGTTAAAAAGGAAACAAATAAGTAACTCTCTTAGAAAGAAAAATAATGGAATTGTGGGGATTTATTTTGGAGTGACTATTTTAGGAAAGACCTCTCTGAGGAAGCAACCATTTAGCCAAAATACAAAGTATAAAAAGAGACAAGGCACTCAAAAAGGACAGGAAGGGAAATGAGCCCTATAAATTCATGCCCAAGGCACCCAAGATTGTTTCTTGCAAAGAACTGAGACACAGATGCCTGAAGCAGAATGAGCTGAAGGAGCTGAGAGTGCAGTGGAGTGGGCACGTAGGCAGGGCCAGAGCAGCCAGGCAGTGGGGATGCTGGTGCGGAAAAAAGCTTGGGTTTTAATTTCCCAATTAAATCTTTAATATAGTAGGTGGGAATCTAGTGGAGGTTTTAGGCAAGAGAATGGAAGGGTCTTAATGAAAACCCCCACTTGGGGTTCTCTGAGAGACTGAGTCCAAGCACTGGGACCAGATGGGAAGTTGTTGTCAAAGTCCCGGGAAGAGGTGCTGCTGCCTTGGACTAGGATGGTGACAGTTTAAATGAGGAGAAAGACACGGATTATAGATCTAGTTTGAAGGTAGTATCATTGTTGGTGACGGGTTAGTTAAGCATGATTCAAGACAGTTATCAAGAATAACTCCTGAGCCCTGGCTGGTGTGGCTCAGTTGGTTGGAGAATTGTCGTAAGCCTCGAAGGGTCACAGGCTTGATTCCCAGTCAGGGCACATTCCCAGGTTGGGGGTTGGATCCCTGGTCGAGATACATACAGGAAGCAACAGATTGATGATGGGATGATGGTCCTTTCTCTCTTTAACCAGAGGTTGCAGGTCCAATTCCTGGTCAGGGTACATACAGGAGGCAGCAGATTCTGATGGTTTTCTCTAGAATCGGTGTTTCTCTCCCTTTCTCTCTCTCTCTCTAAACTCAATAACAAGCACACAAACAAACAAACAAACATATCCTTGGGTGAGGATTTAAAAAAAAAATAACTCCTGAGTATATGAATTGAATGATTGAATGAATTATAGTGCCATTTGGGAGATGAGGAAAATTAAGGGAAGAACAGATTTAGAGGAATTTTAAGAATTCAGTTTGACCTAGTTAATTATGAGATGCCATATGCCATCCAAATGGAGATGTAAATATTGCAGTTGGATAAGGCCCCAAAGGGATATTTGTATTAGAGATATAAACATGCTAATTGTTAGATTATAAATACATGAGAAATGATAACATCACTAAGGGGATGATGTGAACAGGGGAGAGGCACCTCAGGAACAAGCTCAGAGGAACCGAAGAGAAAATGGGTTTCCAGTGATGAAATAGTCCGTAGGTATGTAGGGGAAGGTAATGGAGAGCAAGTGGAAGAAAAGTGTCTAAGAGCATTTTGCAGAAGAATAGGCCATCCATGTGGATGATGAAGTGACTGCTTGGGTCTTGGAGCATGAGGAAAAGAGTTGGTGGCTAGGAATCAATGCAAATGTATATAAAGTGAGGCTGCCTTCCAGAAGCATGGCAAGTCCCAGCAGGCAGGATGCAGGGAGTGGGGCATGGCCAGGGGGATGAGCCACCCAAAGCACCTGCACAGACAGCTTTGGGAACCATGGGACGGGCGGGTAACCTAAACCCAGGAACCGGAAAAACCTTCCACAAAACAGCTGACCCGGGAGTTGAATTATGAGGCCCAGAAATGGGGTGAAGGAAACTTCTAAAATGCTTT